CAGAAGTTATATTTAAGATGAAAAATACAACACAACTTTTCAAAGATGGCTGATGAACAGCAAATCATTATTTCTTGATGTCCAAGATCCGGGCATATTCGGATTTGGAGTCTGGTAAAGTTCTACTTCCTCCTCTGCAGAGAGTTTTATTTCTTAATGTGTCTTCATGTGGTGGAAGGGCAAACAAATTTTCTGGGGCTTCTTTTGAAACGAGATTACTTCCTTTTCCTGTTGATATTATTTCCTGGTCAGTAGAAAAATAACTAGCTCCATGGCCACCTCCTATAAGAGATATAATCTCATTCATGAAGTCTCTATAATAATAACCTACTGACCTCCCAAAGGTCTCTTTCCCAAACACATAAACATGTGAATTTATGGCAGGACACAAACATGTAGAGTATGGCAAACACTTTTTCTGACATTATATGTGTATAGATTTATGTATGCATATATAATATGAGTATATAAAGGTATTATATATGAATATAATATTTAAAATAGTATTGTAAAATATGTGAATATACTATATATTATATATTATATACATATAATTATACATATGTATCATATATTTATATGCATATATGTGTACCCACATATATATTTTTTGTGGACATCTTTGTAAAAGGAAATTGTGTAAACATGTAAATTATTTCAAATATATCTATATTTTACATTGGATAAAATGAAACTTACTAAGAATGGAGGAAAATTTAGCTCCAAAGTTTTTAACATAATTTAAATGCAGCAAACACTACAGTTAAGGCTCTGATTTCTCTTGATTTAGTTCGGTTCCCAGAATATATTTCATATTACACTAGGCCAACAGAATTTTCTGTGATTAGGTAATTTGACAAATGCTGTAAATTCCACATTCTTATCAGAGGTTCACAACATATATTAGCATATTAAAAGTTTTGAATTTTCCTGCAGTGAATCATACAGTGCATATTTATCTTTGTTCAGCTTATGTTTCAGAAGTGTATTATTTGAAAAAAAATCTTTTTACATTATATATGATTTTTCTGCTCTCTTGATTTCCTGAATTTTACCACAATATCGAAATTTTTCAGAAACACCAGGCATCTATATAACACAAACCATCTTGTATATCTCAGTATAACTCTTCCTAGTCCTTCAAATGATGATAGTGCATGCAGTCCTGGGGTAGAAGAGCGAGCAGTATAGCTCATTCAGATCTGAAAACTCATTACCTATAGGGTCACAATTTTTAATTCTCAGAATCAATGTTATCATTTTTGAATAATTTGACCATTTAATTTATAAACTTCAGTTTTGTGAAACTGTAGAAACTCCGGGCTGCCAGGTTCATAACAATTGCAATTTTAACAAAATAGCATTCTCTTCCAAGAGGAAAAGGACTGTGAGGGACAAATGGCTTTGAACTATCTCTCTCTTTAGCTTTTCATCATTGCAAAAAGCTAATGACTCCACTCAGAGCAGACACCGCTCTATGAAGCTCCCTGGAATATGCTGTCCTACTATATGAAAATAAACCAAAACAATTTTATTTTTTCTTTCTTCTTTGTATTTAAACTATGGATCAGTAAATCAGTGGTTAGACAGTAAAGAATTTAGGATGCACAGAGGGAAAATAATGTTGGAACATTCCCCAAGTGGAAAGTAAAATACTAAAAGCTTTTCTAAACATACTTAAGATGTACATAGCACTTATTATATAGCATATAGTATAGCACATATTAAATAACATGCATTAAATACAAACATTGTTATCACAATTATTCTGAGTGGAATTGAAATATTTAAATAAACAGTTATAACACAATATGGTAAATGTTATGAAAGTAGAGTAGTGCTTTGGTTCAGAAATTGAATTTATTCCATGATTCTGGTTTTGAACTGAATTGGTTGCAAACCAAATCAAATTTCCCCACGATGTCTATTGTAAAAAAGGTTCTGGCCTTTATCAATATGGTTGCAAACCAATTTTGGTTGCAAGCTTAATTGCACCCATAGGGTGCAATTCAAGTGAGGATTATTCATTCTGAGCAACACGTATTTTTTAACCGCAAAAATTGAAACAAACTACAATAGAGTACAGTATAGTACAGAAGAGAGACAGAGAGAGAGAGAGAAAGAGAGAGAGAGAGAGAAAGAGAGAGAGAGAGGGAGAGAGAGACAGTGAGACAGAGAGAGAGACAGAGAGACAGAGAGACAGACAGAGACAGGGACAGAGAGAGAGACAGAATATTAACATTGCTTAAGGTGCCTTCTCATGTAGAGGACAGGAAAATGGGTGTTTGGAGGGAGAGTACCCTCCATAAGGACATCTGGAAGATCTCTTTCAAGGGTTTTTTTCTCTTCCTTGTCTCTTAACTATAAGCTCAGTTTGATAACAAACATCTGCAAAGTCACTGTTTTTCCCTGCACTTCATAACACTAGAAATGGAAGATCACATTATGGTTCATCACATTCAACACTCTGGTCAGTAGTTATATTGGGGTGATGTTTCTCAAAGAAATCCTGGCACTGGTTCCATTTTTCCATAATGGATTTTATGCCTTAGTGCTATCTCCTCCCTGCCTTCCTTGGCCTCAGGGAAATGCTTCTCAACAAGTGCCTTTTGCTGCTCACTCTGGAGTTTGGCAAGTTCTTCTGTCATCATCTCCTTCTTAAGGTCCTCAGAAAGCTTCTCTGTTTGTATCATTGATGTCCAGACCAAAACTCTTGCCCACAAGCACAACCTCGTCCACTAGTTGTGCATCAGACCCTTTAAAGTCACATTCAGTGGCATATTCTGGCTAGTTTTCCACAGGCTGAATTTAATGTTCTTCTTCCTGTGTTTTGTAAATGAGATTGATGCAATGGAAGATATTGAAATGTCCCTTCATAATTCTCTCATTCTTTTAGAGTCAGTGACATCTCTTCAGTGACATTAAAACAACTAGTAAAGAGCACCTTGCACCTTTGCGTATAGCTTTTTGAAACTGCAGATCACCTGCTGGTCCATGGGCTGCAGAAGAGGTATTGTGTTGGGAGAGGAAGTTTACCTTTATGAAATCATACTCAATATCTATATTGTCCACCAAGGCTGATGTCTATGCTGAGCAGTGTCCATCAAAAGAAGGCAACTTTCAGATTGTTGGTTGTCAGAAAGTTATTTCTTAACAGTGGGTGTGAGCATCTCATGCAGCAATTGCCTTGTGACCCATGCTTTCGCATTAGCCCTCCACATGGCAGAGAATCTGATCTTGTTTCCATTCTGTTCCTTGAGTGCATGAGGGGATGGAGTACAGCACTAGTGGTTTAATCTTCAGATAGGTGATTGTATTTGCAGACAGCAAAAAGGTCAATCTGTCCTTTATAGAATTGTGCCCAATGGTGTCTCTTGCTTATGTTTCATCATGGTTGAACACTTGTTGAGCAGCATACTCTTGCAACTTTCTGAATTCCATGGATTCTTTCTTGTAGGCCTCTGCAGCGGCCTTGTTCACATTGCAAGCCTCACCAGGGCTTACCATCCTGTGGATGCCACTTTTCTTACAGAATTTACCAAACTGCCTTCTACTGGTTTTAAAGTCATAATGTGTTGCTTTTGTAGGAAATTTTTGTGCAGTAAATTCACTGTGAAATTTCTTGACTTTTTCACAGATCATAGCTACACTTACACCATCATATGCCACTGTTTCTAATTCAACCACACTAATAAAGGTTTTTCCACCATTTCCAGAACTTGAGCCTTTTGTTTGGTTAATATTATTATTCTATTTGCCACATCAGCTACTTTGATGTCATCTTTACTCTTCTAAGTAGTTGAGACTGTGCCTTCTTTTATTCTGAAGCCAGATCAGTCGCAGAAATACCATATTCACCATTTTCTTCAATTTTCTTCTGCAATTCAATGGTTATTTTCTTCAAAATCTCCTTCTTATGCTCTTGTCCTGCACATTCTTACCATCTTCATAGCCACTCTGCTCCTTGTTTTTAACACCATGCTCGCTGTGCATTTTCTTTGGAGATATGCTGGATTGAATAATATCATACAGTACTGTAGCTCCTGAAAAACATGCAGAACAGCTTTCCAGAAAATGTGCACAGGTCTGTCTGCAACTGTGGTTTTAACTAGAGAGAGTCATGGCCATGTGCCAGAACAGGGAAGATAACTATGGTCATTTTCAACTGATGTGGAGATCACTAACAAAAACAAACTGTGGCAAAAGTTACTATTCAAGAACCAAATCATCCAAGGACAGTAGTGACCACGAATCAAGATATTGCTGTTGTGCACACTTATTTATACTATTAAACATCTGAGATGTGATCAGAATATATGGTGAATATTTAAATTAGAAAGTATTACAGTAAAAGACACATTGGCATTAGTGAAACTTAAAATTTATTTTAAACACACTTATCTCACAGTTCTTGTCACTTTCTGAAGTTCTGACAGTTTACTTTTATGTAAAAGGAGTATTTTTAGGAGATATGATCAAATATATAATAGATGCTATAGCAGAGAATCATCCACCTGAAAGACAGGCTGGTAAGTACATTCTCGTGTCCTCCTTCACCTTTTTCATCATGCAACTTCTGTCTTTTTCCCAAAGTCAACAACAGCAAAATAAGAGGCAAATGGTTTCAATGAATTCAAGACACCAGTTAAGCCACGTTTAAAGTGCAGGGAAGTACTTTGAGGGAATGAGTAATAATGAATCTTTTACTGTTACGAATTTTAAAATTTAATCATTCACTGTAGCTTTCATTTACAACTTATGAAATGCTCAGTATATGTGCAAGGTAGATTTTGCCATAAGAAGTGTGAATAAGACAAAGATTTTGGCCTTGAATGGCATGTGATCTGAAGAAAGAAATCTATATAAATAGAGTAGCTAAAAAAAGTTTGGTAATAAGAATAGCCAACAGTTTTTTACTGTCTGGTGCTATTCCAGCTTTGGATATACTGTTCACTTTTCATGAAAAGTTTTATTATGAATATTAATTTCTCCCCATACAGCAGATGTAGCAGGAAAAAAGCTATCTTGTGCAAAGTTACTCAGCTACAGAAAAATGAAGATGGAATTTAGATTGAGAAGTCTGACTCAAGTCTACCAAACTAATTGCACGACAAAATGCCATTGAGATCTCCCATGAAAATTTAACCTATGGTTGATACAGGCTAACAAAGATAAAAACACTGTTTTATGAAAGAGTTGTTAGTCTGAAAAGTATCCTTTTTTCTTCTACAAATTCCCTATAATGAATGTAGTCAATATGTATGTCGAAAATGAACCAATAAACTTAATTTGAAAAACATATTCTGGAGTATTTTTAAAAAGTGATAAATATTTTTGGTGCTAGGACAACCAAATCTTATGCCAGTTCTTTGGTATTATGTCCAATTTCACAATTTTGTCAGCTCCTTTAGTGGGAGCTAATCAAGCTCCATATCTTAGAGATGAATTTACAGAGAAGAATTAAACAATAACAAAATTCAGGCCTCAGTGGTATTTCCTAGTGCTGTCTTCTATGTCCACATGATGGCCCGAGCCATACATTCAGAAAGTTACAAGACTTCCAAGGACTCAGTAGATCCACCAAGGAATGTGGGGGAATGCACTTAATAATTGTAAATATTTGTGCAGAACTGGAGTGCGAATGTTATTGCTCTAGAGTGAATAGTGATTTGCTTAATTTTCTTCTTATACTGTGTCCCTCATTTATTGAAGATATTCATCAGTAATTATTTTATTGTTTTATATTCTATTTTAAAATATATTGTTTACACAATAATGAGCTTAATAAAGGGACTATAAAATTTGAGTAAGAACTTAAGATGCTTTTAATTCCTCAAGATAGTTAATAATCAAGTATATGAACAAAGGATTTTTAATGAGATTACATTTGGGATTTTATTTTTTTATTAAGTTTATTGGCACAGTTTAGATATGCATATTAATCGTATTCCTCATATGAAATGTGTACCTGTACATGATGTACCTCAAATCCTTTCTATGCCAATCTCCTGTTTTCCCTTCAACCCCTTCTTATTTAAGAAGCAAAGAAAGGGTTTAGCTGCCACGCCTGGCCATTGGTCTGCAGAGGAGGAGCTGGGCAGATCTGGGGTGCCCTCACCGGCCTCTCTGCGTGTCTGGAGGACTCTGGATATCTGCGCCCAGACTGCTGGAGGTCCCTCAGGCTTCCAGGTGCAGTGAAGGAGAGAGGTGGGTTTGAGGCTTCCACATCAGCCTCCCCATTCCCGGCTTCACTTGGACACCTGCTGAGCTCCCCATAGGTGGGCTGGCCCACACTACCAGCCTAGCCCAGCCTGTTTAGCTGCCGCGCCTGGCCATAGGCCTGCAGAGGAGGAGCTGGGCAGATCTGGGGTGCCCTCACCGGCCTTTCTGCGTGTCTGGAGGACTCTGGATATCTGCGCCCAGACTGCTGGAGTTCCCTCAGGCTTCCAGGTGCAGTGAAGGAGAGAGGTGGGTTTGAGGCTTCCACATCAGCCTCCCCATTCCAGGCTTCATTTGGAGACCTGCTGAGCTCCCCATAGGTGGGCTGGCCCACACTACCAGCCTAGCCCAGCCTGTTTAGCTGCCGCGCCTGGCCATAGGTCTGCAGAGGAGGAGCTGGGCAGATCTGGGGTGCCCTCACTGGCCTCTCTGCGTGTCTGGAGGACTCTGGATATCTGCGCCCAGACTGCTGGAGTTCCCTCAGGCTTCCAGGTGCAGTGAAGGAGAGAGGTGGGTTTGAGGCTTCCACATCAGCCTCCCCATTCCCGGCTTCATTTGGAGACCTGCTGAGCTCCCGATAGGTGGGCTGGCCCACACTACCAGCCTAGCCCAGCCTGTTTAGCTGCCGCGCCTGGCCACAGGTCTGCAGAGGAGGAGCTGGGCAGATCTGGGGTGCCCTCACTGGCCTCTCTGCATGTCTGGAGGACTCTGGATATCTGCGCCCAGACTGCTGGAGTTCCCTCAGGCTTCCAGGTGCAGTGAAGGAGAGAGGTGGGTTTAAGGCTTCCACACCAGCCTCCCCATTCCAGGCTTCATTTGGAGACCTGCTGAGCTCCCGATAGGTGGGCTGGCCCACACTACCAGCCTAGCCCAGCCTGTTTAGCTGCCGCGCCTGGCCATAGGTCTGCAGAGGAGGAGCTGGGCAGATCTGGGGTGCCCTCACCGGCCTCTCTGCGTGTCTGGAGGACTCTGGATATCTGCGCCCAGACTGCTGGAGTTCCCTCAGGCTTCCAGGTGCAGTGAAGGGGAGAGGTGGGTTTGAGGCTTCCACATCAGCCTCCCCATTCCCGGCTTCACTTGGAGACCTGCTCAGCTCCCGATAGGTGGGCTGGCCCACACTACCAGCCTAGCCCAGCCTTTTTAGCTGCCGCGCCTGGCCATTGGTCTGCAGAGGAGGAGCTGGGCAGATTTGGGGTGCCTGCATCGGCCTCTCCATGTGTCTGGAGGACTGTGGATATCTCTGCAACCAGGGAGGGTCCACAGGTTCCTGAAGCACTGCGGCCTGTGGTGAGTACCCTAACCCGGCTGCGATTGAAGAACTGTGGAGCTTCCAAGGGGCAGGTGGGCGCACAGTGTCCCTGAGGCCCAGCTTGTCTGGAACTGCGGAGTTCTGAGCAGGCAGAGGAGGGCCACTGGTTCTGTAGGCCTAATGGCTTGGGGCAGTGCGGCGCCAGAGTCTCAGTAGCTCCAAACATAGAAGGGGATTTTCAACAGATCCTGAGGAAGCTTTCAAATAACACTTGAAACACAGAAATATAGGAAAATGACAAAATGAAAGACCAAATTACAACCTCAAACCTCCAGCCCATCTCAAGAAACCCTAGGAGCGATGTATATAGAAGAAAATATATCCCATCCACCTCATATATCGGACACAATAGCCACTGAAATTGACAAGCAACTCCAGGAAGCTTTAAAGAAATTCAAACTCGAAATAATCTCCCAGATAAAAGAAGAAATGATAAAAGAAATGAAAGAGATTCTAAATATATCTAAAGAAAACACAGATAAAAAATTGGAGGAACTAAACAAAAAGATAGAATCCCTAGACGAGCAATATAAGAAACAAACAGAATACATAATGCAGATGCACAGAGATATACAGGAAATAAAAAACTCCACTGAAAGTTGTAAAAACCGCCTTAATGAAAGTGAAGATAGAATTTCAGACCTTGAAGACAGGATTGCAGCTAGTGAACAGGAAAGGAAAGATCTTTTGAAAATAACAAGGAACCAGGAAACAACAATTCAACAACTGCAAGACGATGCAAAGAAGAATAACATAAGAATGATAGGGATTAATGAAAGAGAGGGAGACAACATGAAGGATGTCAGGAGGATATTTAGAGAAGTAATAGCTGAAAATTTCCCAAGCATGAGATCAGAAACCGACATCAGGATCAGTGAAGCATATAGAACTCCAAACAGTCATAACCAAAATAAAACTACACCCAGACATATAATAATCACCATCCCAGAAATCCAACACAAGAATAGATTATTAAAAGCTGTCAGAGAGAAAAGACAGATCACTTATAAAGGAAAACCTATCAGAATCACAGCAGACTTCTCAGCACAAACGATAAAGTCAAGAAGAGCATGGAGTGAAGTATTCCAGATCCTAAAGCAAAATGATTTCCAACCAAGACTGATATATCCTGCAAAACTATCATTCAAAATAGATGGTGCAATACGATACTTCCATGACAAAGAACAGCTGAAGAACTTCATGAACACCAAACCAACCCTGCAAAAAATATTGAAAGACAGTTTAGATACACAAAGGAAAAAAGCACTAAGAAAAGCAAATAATTAAACAGAACAGAAAGATAAAGATGCAACAGCAGAGAGATAACATTCCTACAATTAACCAGCATTTAACAGTAATAACCATTAATGTAAATGGTCTCAATGCACCAATCAAAAGAAACAGACTAGCAGAATGGATCAAGAAACAAAATCCAACCATATGCTGTTTACAGGAAACCCATCTAACCCAGAAAGAGACTCAGAGACTGAAAGTCAAAGGATGGAAAACAATTCTTCATGCAGCAGGAATCCAAAAAAAGGCAGGAGTAGCCATTCTGTTTGCAGACAATGTGAACTTTAAACCAACAATGACCATAAAGGACAAAGAAGGTCACTACATACTCGTAAGGGGAAAACTCCAAGAGGAAGAGATAACTATCTTAAATATATACGCACCAAACTCCAGAACACCCAGTTATATAAAACAATTATTAACAGAAATGAAAACTCAAATTATCAGTAACACAATTGTAACAGGAGACCTTAATACACCACTGACACCAAGGGACAGATCAACCAGACAGAAAATGAGCAAAGAAATAACAGAACTGAATCACACCTGTGAACAAATGGGTTTGATAGACATATACAGAATGTTCCACCCAACAACATCAGAATACACATTCTTCTCTGCAGTACATGGATCATTTTCTAAAATAGACCATATATTAGCTCACAGAACATATTTAAGCAAATGCAAAAGAGTTGAAATCATCCCTTGCATATTATCGGATCATAGCGCTCTGAAATTAGAAATTAATGACAAAGGATACTGAAAAAATTCCGCAAACACATGGAAACTAAATAACACACTCTTGAGTAATCAGTGGGTCACAGAAGAAATTAAAGAAGAAATTAAACAATACCTAAAAGAAAATGAAAATGCAGATACAACTTACCGGAATCTGTGGGATGCAATGAAAGCCGTTCTGAGAGGAAAATTTATTGCACTGAGTTCCCACATCAGGAAAGCAGAACGAATACAAATAAATAACTTGATGCTACACCTCAAACAACTAGAAAAAGAAGAGCAAGTCAAGCCCAAAGCCAAAAGAAGAGAGGAAATTATAAAAATCAGAGCAGAAATCAATGCAATAGAGACTAAGAAAACAATCCAAAGAATCAATGAATCAAAGAGTTGGTTCTTTGAAAGAATAAATAAAATCGATAAGCCCCTAGCCAACCTTATTAAAAAAAGGAAAGAAAAAGCTCAAATTCATGCAATAAGAAATGAAAAAGGAGAAATCACTACAGACCCAATAGAAATACAGAGGATCATCAACACCTATTTCGAAAACCTCTCAAAAGTTTGATAACACAGAAGAAATAGACAGATTCTTAGAAGCATATGAAGTACCAAAGCTAGATCAAGAGGATATAAAACTGTTGAATAACCCAATCTCTGCTAATGAAATTGAAAATGTAATTGGGTCCTTGCCCACCAAGAAGAGCCCAGGCCCAGA